ACCATTTTTAAACTGATTAATAGTACACCAAAATAGTACTAGTACTAAAATAGTACTATAGTAATAGTGTAAGGATAGTGTGTTAGTAACATAGCCGAAAATCACAACCTAATATTTTTTTTTATTCAAACATGAATAAAACTGAACTTTGTTGTTCTACTTTTGTCCGATAGTGTACATTAGGGTGGATCGAAAAATCGAAGTTTTGAAAATCGTTTTGGAATATTGGTATTAGAAAACTAATATCTATTTATAGTTTTTCAATTTTTTTTCATCTTCTACCCTCTACCGAGCTTTAAAAAAAGTAAAAAATACAAAAATATAAAGTTTTGATTTTTAGCCAAAATTTCAGGTAATAAGTAACTTTTGTAATTAGAAATAATATATCTTATTGAAATATGACTACTTACTGGTCAAACAATTTTTTTATAAATACCCAAATATTTACTCACTTTAACAAAGAGTTAAAAATGTGTCGAGCAGAGCACTTAGAGCCGTTTTTCGCTTGTTTAACAATATTTTATGTATTCAGTATTGTTAAACAACCCAGAACTCACCACGGGGAGGTAAATGCTCGGCGAGTTCAATCCCACCCTCCCTCGTCCATTTATTTTTGCTCATTTATTGATTGTAGTCTTTTTTTGACTCAAATTGTGGCATAAGTTTGAGCGAATCTATTTTTGTCTTTATAAAACTGTTTCTCTTTTGTATGCCTAGAACTGATAAAGATGCTTCGGTTACAAGTTTTACGTATCTCTCTACTGATTGAGTGTGACAGGGAAATGCAACGATGTCGATGATTGTTTCAGAAGAACTAAAAATCATATTTTTAAATCATCTACTTCCAAAGTTTGGAGCAATGGAGGACAAGTTATTTCATTTTTTTGCCAATCAATTAGATCAACATAGTCATATAGGGTTTGACCGTCAAGCTTTTGAAAAAGATGCCTAAGAGGTAACTCATTAGCGTGAAGCTGGCAGACCAATCTTTGTAAAAGGTGTCCTAATTTTAATTCTAATTGAGAAATTGCACCATTTTTTTCCTGTATTCACCACGGTTTGTCACATATGTTTACTGGTACTAGTTCTTCTAGGTCATATTCATTACTTTCTAAGAAGTTCACAATACCTGACAATACTTTGACAATTGCTTAGAGCCGATCCAGAACTGGGAACCCTGTTACCCAAAAATAGAGAGCCCGGCTCCTGAACTAAAGAAATATGTTCTTCAAGTACAGTTCTTCTGTGGGACATGCCTTCAATATTTTCAATACCATAGGTTTTATCCAAGGGTTTTATCTTTCCTTCCGTCAAAATAAACGGCCTTCAAAGTCTCCGAGGAGTTTTGCTTAAAATTGTTTCAGAAGTTGTGATTTTATCAAAAAGTTGTAATATTACTTTTTATTATTATAACCAAAAGTAACTTTTGGTAGGTATTCCAGATCGGCTATTAAAATTTTTTTTTTTCAATTTTAACAGCCGGTAAAGGGCAGAAGACGTGATTTAATCAAAAAATTTTAAATAAACTTTTTTATCAACATTACTAAAGGTAACTTTAGATAGGTATTCCAAATCGATTTTTCAAAAAAAACAATTTTTCATTTTTTAAGGGCTGGTAGAGGGCAGAAGATGTGATTTTATTAAAAAGTTGTAGTAACACTTTTTTATCAACATTACCAAAGGCAACTTTTCGTAGGCATTCCAAATCGATGTTTTAAAATTTTTAAAATTTTGAGATTTACGATCCACCCTAGTGTACATGTATCACTCTGTATCATCCATGCATCACTAAAAATGTATTGTTAAATGATATTCAGTGACTTATAATTTGCTTCTTTATCCGAATAAGTTAGAATCAGTTACCGTCTCTAAATTTCTTTTATGAAAGTTTGTCATAATTGCATAGCATATGATACTCTTTTTATTTCTGTAATTTGGTCTGGTTTATAAGGTTTATTTAGGTTTATCGTTTTAATTTAACTCCGGGCAATAACTTATGCTTTTAAATTACATAAAAATGAACCTGATATTTTTGGACATCTCTCAATTCGGCATTAAAAGAACTAATGTCTAAAAATCGCAAAATTTTAAAAAAACTTAAAAAAAAATATTTTTTAATTTTAAATAAGGATACCTATTATCGGCTATCTAGATGAAAAACGTCAATATTTTTAACCAATAGCAGCCGAATTAAAGAAATATATTTTGTATTTTAGTTATTTCTGGATGTGCTATTACGATTTTTAATGGACACAGTAAAAACGCAAGCGCTGCTGTATCGATTTGTTATTAATAATTAAACCAATGTTTATAGAATTATCAAAATAAAATATTTAATAAGCTACATTCCGAACAGAAACAATTTAAAGTTACGTGAACTAGCGGGAAAATGCATGTGTGCTTTTTATGATAGCTACACTGTTAATTATGCACTACTTAATAACGACTTTTTCCGCCGGCCAACTTTTTAAATTATTCCAGCGTACATTATTACAGTCTCACCTCAGTAAGTTTATAATAACCCTGAAGGGGCGTGGCCGAAAGCAATAGAAACTTATAATGTATACCGAAGTTTCGAACGGTTCTAACAAATATAATTGAGTGGCTCGAGAGTTTCAAGCTTGGGAAGTATTTTTTCTACGAACTTAAATTCGTCTAAGTGTTTTAGTGGTAGAGTTGTCTGAATTTTAATTTTGTTTGAATGTTTTGAAATTATTCAATTAGTAAAGAATTATTTGGAAATAACTATTACCTAACATATTATATTATTACTATTACTTCTTAGTTAAAATCCTCTACTGAGAGGCAGGAGACTCATACTCACAGTCTTGTATAAAAAAATTTTATTTAAAATTTGTACTATTTAAAAAAATCTAGGCAACATGTTTCGGGAATAACAATCCCATCTTCAGGCCCGGAAGCATTTAAGCAAAATGTACCATTATTTGGTCCATAATGTGATTTTCCTTGCTCTCATTGGTCGAGACTAAACGCTGGTGCGTTTTGCCAAACATGACTAAGATGCGGTACATTTTGCCACGTTAGTGTGAGGTATTCCAAACGCAGGTACATGTTGCCAAACTTTACTAAAACGTGGTGTGTTATGCCTGAGATCGAATGGCATTAACCTTTTCAATTGCCCTGAGAAAAATAAAAAAGAAATGACGGATTGATATGACAACTTCGCCAAAAACACGCCGCCGTTATACGCTTCTCTCAAGTAGTTTTCATTAGACAGACGTTGTTTTTGTGTGTTTGAATAAACTTTAGCATTTTTAATTGATATCTATCTTGACATCTGAAGGTTTGACGTATATTTTACCGGATCAACTTCGATACGGTGTAAAAGAAGTTTTGGTTTAAGGTAGCATTATTTATGCTGAACTAAAAACAGCAGAAGATTGCGACGCGACGCGACGCATGGATTTCATAATTTTCGCGACTAAATAAGTAGCCTGGATTGTACGGCGAACTTTTACTTTGTTCTTTCCGTATTGGATAGGCTGTATGGAGGTGGCTTTGGGACAAAAATCACGCAGTTTTCAAAGAAGATCGACCATTATTATACAGGGTGGCGCACCTCATTCGCCTCGGTTGATTAAACGGAAAGATGTAGAAACAAATGTTTTTATGGGTATATGTAGAGAAACATGTGCATAATTTAAAATTATTTTGGAATGTACAGGGTGTGTTAGAACTAAGATCCATACCAAAGTTATATTTTTTCTTATGGAACACCCGGTATTTTATTTCATTTTTGGATTCTTGGACATAAAATAAGGCATAAGGTTTAATATGTTTAGATGCTTTGGTTTTTGAGATATTTAAAGACATTTAAATATGCATGCTCTAATAAAAAAGTTTGTCAACACCCTGTACGTTACTTTTCAGAGTTTATTCTTGTGGTGACTTTGAAGCCAGAGAAATTATCTCTACTGAAACAATGTATTGCTTTCTTAAATGTATACAGGGTTGTCAAAAATTGCTGGTCTATTTTAAATATTTATTTTACATAAAAATTTCGTTATTTCTATGTATGACGCAATTTTTGAGACCCCTGTATACATTTAAGAAAGCAAAACATTGTTGTAGTAAAATTAGTTTCTTTAATAATGGTAGATTTTGCTTAAATGCGGCCCGGAAGCTAAAATGTTATAAATAAAAAACAATCAAAGTAAATCAAACATATGAACAAAGTCAAGAACAAAGTCAAGAACAAAGTCAAGTAACAAAACAATAAAATACTGGTAGTTATAGACTAAAAAGTCCCTTCTGCCCTTCTCCGTAGTTTAACGAGTAGTTTTGAGGCGTTTTTAAGAAATGAAAGTTAGTCGAGACAACCGGAGATGAGACAAAGGTAGACATGAAAATACTTGACCTGCTTTGGACAGTTTTCCGCATAGTGTAGTGGGTGTATTACAGTGTCATTTTCTATGCAGATAGATACGATCTCTCGTACGTAATTAAAAAGGCTCAGGCATAGTTGAATATCGAATTTATATCTTGAAATTTGGACCAAATTATACTGTTTAATTAGGTAGCCACAATCTATTTACAACTAGCCTATCGACTTTCGATCATTTCCAGGCTCACCCTACAAATGATTGAAACTGATAAAATAGAACTGGATAAATCTAAAAAGGTTGCAGTAGAATAGGCTACCTATTGGAGGAGCTACCTAAAAAATTTACTCTAATCTACAATCATTTGCATGTAATTCCGCGTATCTACATAGCTATTGTATCAAGTGGGGTTCTAAACTCCATTGAAACTTCGTTTAATAAACGATTAAGACTCGTGCTCTAACTGGCGACATATATTCGCGAATAGCAGCAGCAGGTAAAGCACAGATACTAAAAATGGGAAGATAACCAGCTGGTAATAAATAAGCTGTTGTTTATTAAATATGATTGTAAAATTTAAAATTAATTTTCTTTCCTTGGTGCTGGTTTCGGAAAAATTATGTTTAAGGTTATATTAACATATTCGTTTTGTTTCAGTTCCACCGAATAAACCCAAGATATATGACGTAAATGGAACTGAAGTAGGAGATCATGCTGGTCCGTACGAGGAAGGTGGAGATATGAAGCTGCAGTGCGTAGTGTCAGGAGGTAATTTCTACGATTTATTTTTTTTTTCTGTACTATAATTTTAATATTTTCTACAGTATGTCCCCGGATTTTATTTATTTAGCGTATGGCTTACATCACAGTATTTTAAGTGATAGGATACAGAATGGTATAAAAAACAAAAAAAATATATATATATATATATATATATATATATATATATATATATATATATATATATATATATATATATATATATATATATATATATATATATATATATATATATATATATATATATATATATATATATATATATAAAACTGCATAAACAAAGAAAAAAGATACATAACAAAAAAATAGGCTAATTCGTCTCATAAACAGTATCCAGTCGTAGTATATAATCAATTTCCTCCTGAGTAACCATAAGGAAATCCTCTGAGTTGCCCATATATGCTCTTATTGGGCAGTCTTGCACTATATGTTTGACAGTCTGCCTCCAAAGTCGCATGCGGCTGAAGGGACTTTTCCCCACCTATTTAGAGAGTCGGCACATTCCGCAGTTAGTTCTGATGCGGTTAAGAGTTGTCCATGTTCGACGGGGAAGGTCGAATCCTGCAGGTTTATTAATAACGTACGGTAGACCATGGTACATTGGAGCTGCCTCATTTTCCCATTTCTCTCTCCATCGCTCATTTATATCAAAATTATTTTGGTGCAGCTCATGTGCAGTCTTCAATTGAGTGTATCTTGATCGTTGTCGATTTCCCTGGATGTGTGGTACGTCATCATGGACTTGCAGCTGAGGGTTATTCATTATTTTATTAAACTTTCTGACCAAGGCATGTTCTCGGCGCAAATTGGGAGGAGCTATGTTGCTAAGAGTGGGCAGCCATACTGTAGGTGTTGGTCGAATTGTCCCTGATATAGTGCGCATAGTTTGGTTTAATTGAGTATCGACCATACGGGTGTGTTTGCTATTGATCCACACTGGAGCACAGTATTCTGCTACAGGATACACCAAACCCAGCGCATAGGATCTCAGGGTGGATACTGATGAGCCCCAAGTTGTGCTACATAATTTTTGAAGTATGTTGTTACGTGTTTTTAACTTTGCCGTCGTTCTTGTCAAGTGTTCTTTAAAACTAAGCGTCCTGTCCAGAGTAACACCGAGATATTTTGGATGTTTATTGTGAATGAGTAGTTTGTTGTCCATGTACACTCGCAATTCTCTCTTTGCCGTAAGTATTTCATCTTATTATTAAGATGAAATACTTAAAGAAGATTCAACCATATTTTTATGGTTTTTGTTTTGTGATTTTCTTTAAAACGGTATGGAAATTTGGAAAAGTATAAAAGGGATTAACCAATTTAGACCAAGCAAAAATTTTTATGTAGGATTCATTTTTCTCAAAATGTTAATAATATAAAAGTGTTTCCTCTTGTAAAGACAATCCGGCGACATACTGTATACAGAAATACTATAGATATATGGTACTTCGCCGTTTCAAAGTAACTAACCATTTTATTTCCACATTAAAAACATACTCATACCATTAAATTAGAACGATTTTGAATAATCAAAGCAGAATAAACAGTAATGTGCTATTACAGTTAAACAGAAAAAGCTGGTATTTCCTGCTTTGTTGTTTTGGCATTTTTGTAATTTCGAAGTTCACCTTTGAGAATTAAAGTTTACAAAGCTCGCGGGCGATGTACGTTCTAGAAATATTTTAACTGAATTTAATTATTCTTTTTTGACCTTATAATTGGTTAGTAGTTTATGTGTATTAATAGGAACATCGTGTTGTTTTTAGATTTTTTTTAAAATTTAGTTACATCTAACTACTCATTGAAATGCAAATTAAAAAAATATGCTTTTATACATAACTACCGTGTACCAGCGACTTCGTTCGCGTCGAAAATCATTTGTAATGGTGATGGTAAAGGCTGGATAAAATTTTCTCACGTTTATGTCAGCATGAGAAAAAACAATATGGCGATATTATTATATAACTTGGTAATACTTGAGGTGTAGTTTCATTTCGTTGGAATTTGACTTTCGAAAAACCCGTTTGCCAAAAATAAGTTTTTTTACGTCAAGCAGTTTAAGCAGAATCGTGGTTAAGAAATTACCCAACTTTTTGGAACACCCTGTATGATTTTTTAAAAAATTTCAAAATATGTAAAAAACCAAATAAATTATGGTTGTCTAAGCGTTTTCCCGAAAGACTAACCGTTTTTTAAATAACAAATATTGTAATATTTGAGGGGCGTTTTCACCCTCTTGGAATTTGAGATTCGAAAAACCCCTCCTTTTCGAATCTCTACATCCCACAGTCAATCCGTTTGCCAAAAATCAGCTTTAAACGTCAAGCGCAGTTTAAGTGATTACTCAATGGTCATATTTTATGAAACACCCTGTTTAAATTTATAAAAAATCTTAAAATATGTAAAACAACAAAATAAAATATACGTGTTTAAGGGTTTTTTCCGAACATTTTTCCTACCCCAGGAACATGTCTATGATTTTTTGGCAATTTTTTTTTAAATTTTGAATTTTTTGAAATATTTGTTTTTTATTTTTTAGTTGAAAAAAAAAATGTCTTGATCATAATGTGACAACATAGGTAAAGTGTGTATGGAAGCACCTAATCAACAATTTTGTTATAAATCGTTACTTAATCATTTACCTATCAACATTTATAATAACCCTGTTAATATTAGATTTTTTTCTTGTAATAATTATAATGGCCTGGCAATTGCACGGCAACATATTCTAATAATTAACATAATTTATTTTAAATTGTTTAATTCTTCTTTTATAATTATGGTGTCACATTCTCAACTTTAATTGCTCGAACCATTTCAGGCAAACCAACGCCAACAATAAGGTGGTGGAGAGAAGACAAACTGATCCAAACATCCACAACAACAAGGAACAGAGATTTAACGAACAGGCTGGCCAACCAACTGATCGTTCGCGGTCTTAAGAGAACCGACCAACACGTCAAGTTCACTTGCGAAGCGTCCAATCACAACTACAGTCTCCCTGTACGATCTTCGACCTCTATTGACATCTATTGTAAGTAGATTTTGATATTTTTATTTCTATCGTAATGGTCGATTAATATAAAAGAGCAGCATTTCAAATATTGTAAAATAATCTACAATTAAACATGTAGCTATTAAAACAAAAATTAAAGGAATTAACTTAAATCTGACAGTAGTGACACCTGTGGTGATATGTATTGTGTTTAAACGTTAAGTGCGCGACGTTACTACTCTGCGATGGTAATGGGCATTACAATATTATTTCTAGTGAATCGGATCACACGATGCAATTTTTCGAATCGACTCCTCTGATTTGTTCATTTAAATAAACCCCACATGATTCCACATTTTACATGTAATACAGTATAAATATTTTCTTGCAAATAACTTTCTTATCACTTGCATTTTGTACCCATAATGTTTGTTTAAGGCTCTAGTTCGAGTCCAAATATTGTTGATCAACTCTATAAATACACTTACTGTAGCGTTTTTTTTTAAACATTACCACTGCGAACGGCAGCTTTTCATCGGAGAGCAGTCGTGAGTAAGGTATTTCACTGGAAAGAACTAATTAATAACAATAAACAAAAAAAATAGATATTGGGCGCCAGGCATGTACAGAGAAAGAAAACACAGTTGTTTATTACTTAAAACTAGTGACTATATTCATTCATGATGTATCCTGATGGTAAATAGCATTGTACAATTTTAATAATTATTATAGTGGTTATATGTCAACGAAAGTGGTGTTAAAATTGTACTAAATATCTATGAAAACAACTATGATAAAATACAAGACATGTAAAGCTTAAGAGAATATATGAAATGTAGCATTACTATAATTAATTTGATATATTTTATATGATGTTAGTGCAATAATATCTATAAAAAAGTAATACTATTACAAGGCGTAATGTAATGAAACCTAAAATCTAAATCATATTGTAACTACTAAATCGACATAAATGTTCTTTATAATCTAACCACTAAATATAGTCTGTACGATATCGTTTAAAATGTACGTTAAGTTAAGACTGAAAATCGACTGAAGATCAGAACCTAAATCTACACTTAGCTGTTCTTGAGGCAATCTTGTTTCAAAGAGTAGCAGCGTGAGGTAGGCTCATATCTCTGTACTCGACCATCCAATACCACAAAAGGGGGCCAGAATGAGAACACCATGAATTGGAACAGCCGTAACTACTAACTAGCTTATAGAACTACTAACTAGAACCGTAACTACTAACTAGCTTATAGAAGCAGCATGGGGCTCAAGCTACATCCACGCTGGGGCACTTTATATGTAAGAAAAATCATTCCTACTGGGGACACTGGTCCACAGGACATCCGCACATAGGACAATGGTACAAGGGAACACTACCCGTACCTTGGAACACTACTAGGACCTTGGATAATCCAAGGTCCTAGTAGTGTCCAAGGTACGGGTAGTGTTCCCCTGTACCGTTATCTTATGGACGGACTGTGTCCAAGGTATGGGCAGGTGTCCCATATCTATGTATTGATTTCAAGGTTCGGGCATTATCCAAGGTCCTAGTAGTGTTCCAAGGTACGGGTAGTGTCCCCATATTGCCACAGTATGGATGTAGCGTAAGCCCCATGCTGCTTCGTTCCCATCCATAAGCTAGTTAGTAGTTACGGCTGTTCCAATTCATGGTGTCCTCATTCTGGCCCCTTTTGTTGTATTGGATGACCGAGTACAGAGATGCAAGACCACCTCACGCTGTTACTGTTTGAAGCAAGATTATTATTATATATTACTAGGGTGTACCCGCGACTTCGTTCGCGTCGAATTAATCATTGTAATGGTGGTGATAAAGCAAAGCAAGAATTTCCATTAACATACAAACTGGATAAAATTTTCTCACATTTATGTCATCATGATAAAAAACAATATGGCGATATTATTATACAGGGTGAGTCTTAAATAAGTGCAAATATTTTCAGGGCTGGTAGACCTCGACAAAAGAAGCCTATTTTCTCTTTACCATTTTTTAAATAAGTCCAAAATAACCGAGTTATTTAGGTTTGAAAATTTAAAAAAAATTGATTTTTTTTTGGAAAAATTGAGGCCACGGGATTTTTTCTGTATTTGCATCCATTTTAGTGCCGTAACCATAGAGTAAAGGTGTAACTATGGTAATATCAGAGATTAAGAATTTATACCGCGGGAAAATTTGCGGTGAACAGGCAATTCTAAAAAGTTTTCGAAAAATATACAGAGAAATTTAAAAGAAAATGCACGATTTTCAACATCTTTTTTTTGCGAAAAAAAACTCATAGACGTGTTCCTGGGGTCAAAATATACAACCCCTGAAAATATTTGCACTTAACTCCCTTCTTATCGAACCTCTACACCCTGTATAACTTGGTAATATTTGAGAGGTAGTTTCAACTCGTTGGAATTTGACTTTCGAAAAATCCGTTTGCCAAAAATAATCTTTTTACATCAAGCAGGTGGTTAATCAATTTACCCCACTTTTTGCAACACCCTGTATGATTTTTTAAAAAAATTTCAAAATATGTAAAAAAACAAAATAAACTATGCGTTTCCAAGCGTTTTCCCGAAAGACTAACCGTTTTTTAAATAACAAATATTGTAATATTTGAGAGGCGTTTTCACCCTCTTGGAATTTGAGATTTGAGAAACCCCTCCTTATCGAACCTCTACACCCCACAGTCAATCCGTTTGCCAAAAATCAGCTTTAAACGTCAAGCAGTTTAAGCAGAATCGTGATTACTCAATGGTCATATTTTATGAAACACCCTGTATAAATTTTTAAAAATCTTAAAATATGTAAAACAACAAAATAATATATACGTGTTTAAGAGTTTTTCCGAAAAACTCACCGGTTTTTAAATAAAAAATATTCTAATATTTGAGGGGTGGTTTCACCCCCTTAGAATTCGAGTTTCAAAAAATCCCTTCTTATCGAACCTCTACACCCCACAGTCAATCCGTTTGCCAAAAATCAGCTTTAAACGTCAAGCAGTTTAAGCAGAATCGTGATTACTCAATGGTCATATTTTATGAAACACCCTGTATAAATTTTTTAAAAATCTTAAAATATGTAAAATAACAAAATAAAATATACGTGTTTAAGAGTTTTTCCGAAAAACTCACCGGTTTTTAAATAAAAAATATTCTAATATTTGAGGGGTGGTTTCACCCCCTTAGAATTCGAGTTTCGAAAAATCCCTTCTTATCGAACCTCTACACCCTAAAGTCAATCCATTTTTCAAAAATCAGCTTTTTACGTCAAGCGCTTTAAGCAGGATCGTGATTAATCTATGACCAGATTTTTCGAAACACCCTGTATACATTTTTAAAAAATCTTAAAATATGTAAAAAAAGAAAATAAAATATACGTGTTTAAGCGTTTTTTCGGAAACTTGACCGTTTTTTAAATAAAAATATTGTAATATTCCACCCCCCTTTTTACCCCCTTAGGGGATGAATTTTAAAAAATCCTTTCTTATCTTACGTATACATCATAAAAGGAACCCCTGTGCAAAATTTCAGCTTTCTAGGGTCAAGGGTTTGGTCTGGGCGTTGATGAGTCAGTATCAGTCAGGACAGTCAGATTTATATATATAGATTATACATGCTTTTATCTAGTGTCTCGTATATATTATATTTCCTGTTCTTTGTAATTTCAGTGCTCCATAGAATGCCATTTATGCATCTGATAAACTCTTTGTACCTGTATTACTGGTTATTTCTCTATGGTTCGTTCCATCTCTTAAAAGTAAATATTGAACCCAGGTACCTGTAATCTTCACATGCATTAATTTCAATATTATAGTCCAAAATAAGATTTTCTATATTGGCTCCAATTGGAAGGTATTTCGTTTCTTCTGTTTTTACTGTGAGACCCCATTTAGCATATTCTTCAATTATTTTTCGAACCATATATTCCATATCATCTTTGTCGTTTGCAATTATGGCCTGATGGGTCTGCAAATTGGTAATTGAATTCCGCTACATATTCTAATAGTTCTTCTCCGATTTTTATAGCACTCCTATGATTTTCCGGGAGAGTGGTCATGGGCAATATCGTTAAGGTAAAACTTCTTATTTACAAATTATTTTCGCAGCGTCACAAGTATACCTCAAATGTGACTTCACCATTTTAGCACTTAGCTATTTACCTACTCTCCTGCAAAGAGTGTGAATGAAACTATAACACTAATTCTTTACTCTAGACCCCCGATAAGCTTTTTTCCCATAAACTTAAATAAAGCTTGGGGCGATTCCCTATCGAAAGCATCAAAATAAAAATAGCTCTTTTTCTAAAACCGTTAAATTCTATGAGGGCATTTAAAAGCATTATAAAAATAAGCCGAAAGTATATCGGCGCTTACTGTTGGCGCTTAAAAACGTTAGTTTTTATTGTTATCGGATTACGGACTTTATAGTTTTGTTGTGCCTTTACAACTCAATAAAGCGAACGAACTTTCGCAATAAAAACTGCTGAAATTATAGAAAAAGTTTTTATTCGCCCTATTGTTTCTAATTAATGGAATTATTCCGAATGAACAACTGGGGAGGTACTAACTAGTTTATTATATAACGTATTTTTTTGGAATTAAAATAGATTAAAGATATTTGCTTTATGTCGACACAAAAAGAAATTTATAATAAATGAAATATGGCTTTATTAGATATCAATCCATTTGTGAGGAAGAATTTAACTGAAATTGTTAATTTAACTTTAATGCATTAGGTTCCTATCATCATCCTTCTCAGCTTATTCAACCATTTCCAAATATGGTGTGGCATCTCTCACATATATAGATACTCTCTTTGTAGTTGACCCATTGTCGTCTATGCGGGCCCAAGTTATCCTGCTAATTTCTTAACATCGTATCCCATCTTAGGTTTGGTCTTCTTCTAGGTACCATGCTGTAGTATTTCCGATAGGTTGGGCGGAAAATGCATTATAAAGTACAAATATACTGCACTTTTTTTTCCAGCAATAAAAATAGTTCTATTAGTGAAAGATGTGCAGT